GATATTTCCGTTTTGCAGGTTCTGAGAATAGGTCTCAACTCCGTCAATCGTAAAGCCATTTCGTTCAAGCCTAAATCATTTGGTCCGCCGGGAACCCAAATTGACCGATACAGCAGGATCTTTCCAAAGGAACCACGTGGTTGTTGTCATGGAAACTCTCCTACTGTACGAAGCTTGATTCAGCTTGGGTTGCACAGCCGATGCTGGTCGGACACGTCCTCTCTCTTCTCGGTGCTGGCCAAGTGCCATTTTGAAGCCTTTGGGCCACGGAGGGATCTGACCAATCCCGAAAGCCTGCTTGGTCCCCGAATTGGGAAAATATGGCCACCGCTGCTCCGGTGCCCAGCAGCAGAGTCAAAGTAAGAAGAGGCGAATTCCACCCTTCTCTGTTCTGTACTTGACGGTTTGACCCCATAAAGCCATCTGCAAGCACAAGTAACCCGCAACAAGACAGTTCTACTCCACATCTTGCGATAAGAATCCCGTCCTTATCAAGACATAAATATGCCTGGGCTGGATGTGTGTATGTGCCCCACGCAAACTTCCTCACTTGATCCCACTTCAGAAGGCGGTTGGAGACGATCGCCAGACACATACTTTATTGATCAACTTTGATGATGCTTCTGACCAAATTCATACCATTTTTCATACCAATAACTCAAAATGAGGCGCACACTCGGGAATACACAAACCGGTCATGAATTTTTTTTTGGTTCTTAAGTCATGCTGGCACTTTAGATAGTTTCTTTCTTCTGTACACTTTATGAGACTATCGGTATTTCTTTACTATTAAGTTAAGTCAGCCTAGATCGCTTAAGTTGAGCTGAGGTCTGACTGTGGAGTTTCCCACGTGAAAATGTGCAGAAAACCTCACAATTCCGTTAAATTACACTTGGCCTACCTCCAAAATGGCCTTATCATACATACACATACTCCCTGTGCAACTTGACCAAGTCCATCCTGTACATTGTTCGGAAGACTTAAAATTCGTAAGAGATTACGTGACGAAAAGATGTATAGATCGATTCTTGTTGTTCTGCTACTGTTTGGATATAATACAACTTTCATGTTGGCCAATTCCACGAGACCCTCTTCCTCGTTTCAAGTGGAACCTGGCTGATCCTTCTTCCCCCATTTGACGAGCAGCATCAAAGCCGGAACTCATTCAAGTTGGCACTAGGTCAGGAATACTGTCCGTCTCTATCATACATTTTATCTATTCTAATAATATTTAGACGTACATAGATAGATACTCTCTAGTTCAATCTTATAATGTTTCCGAGACGGTCGGAAAAAAACAGTAAGTAATGTCAGTCTAGATCGCCGATGTTGATATATGCAATTCCCTGAA